CATGAAATATTCAGGTATATAGCGAAGACTCAACCAAACTCTAATAATCAAAACATTGATATATATCGACATCAAATGTTGATAAATGAGAATATCTAAAGAAAGTTAAAGTTTGAAACGGATTTAACTTTGGGGAAAAACCAAATTCACCTCGAAAAATTCGTTTTCCAGTGATGAAAGTCGAATGTAAGAATGTACAAATGACATCGTCGAACGAGAATCGCAGTTTACTTTTGTCGCTTTCTTCCAATGAATCATACCGTTCTTTCAAGTAATCCACTTCATCCAGACTCATTATTGCACCTAATCGATCCCAATTCCCATCCGATATATACTTACCACATAATACAGCTGCCTTAAATTTTCCGTTCGTTATCAATGAAATCATTAATATAATCGTATTTTTTAGCATACAGAAATTTCAATAGTAAACACTCAAGTAAACACTGTAAATCAACCGCAAGATAAAGTTGCTCCAGAGTTTGCATAAACTGTGATTAAATAAATGTTGAAAATTGAATTACTGATCGCCATCAACAACGTTTCATAATTTGAAACATCAATTAATAATGAAACTGAAATGACCACTTTTTACCGTACAAGTATCACTACAACACACTCCCTCTGTTTATTATCACTTATCAACTCATATCCGTTTTCAAATTCATTCTGCACGTTATCTATCAAGAAAGCTTCACTGCCAGTGCAGCGGTAACACACGATGTCGAATATCTCGAGAAGAGTCAACGAGATATGATTCACGCATAACGTCAAACGTTATCTTCACTGGCATTGTCTGCAGAACAGGCAAAAACGGTAAAGCAAAATGGCCTTTCGGAATCTCGAGATATTGCTCTTCGTTTCGTAGCCATTCTTCTCTTTCAAGTTGTGTACGTTAAATCGTTCTGGTGTTGATAATAAACAATACAAATTTGCTCGCCACTTACTCAACCCTGTAGCGTACACCATTTGTACAAGTGCATTCTAAGCTCAAATGTCTGAAATACGTTGTTGGATCATGCCACGTGCTTCACACCTGCGCATACATCGTCGTTTGCAGCTTTATCTTAATTCTTGTCAATTCTAACAATAAGAAAAACTGTACACTCGTTTTTACAAATGTATTCAAATCTTATGCATCTTTCTATAATTGCTTACAAATTGCATTTTGATGCTCCTTTTTGGATTGAATTAATCGTTTCGTATGTCATTCTCCTAACTGTAAGTCATGCCTCATCAATTCATCATGCATAACCATCATCATTACTAGCAAGACGATTGCTAGTCATGGTGATGGTTATGCATTGAATTGATGAGGTTTCTCATCAATAGATGGTTGGTTATGCATTGAATTGATGAGGTGATTGCTCTTGTTGCCTATTTATGCGTTTAAGTCATACCGTCGCAATCCTCGTTCCACGCCTATTCCGAACGTAGTGGAGTTGCTAACCCAAAACCGATCCTAAGATATCCCGAACCTATACTTGTTGTGTAGCGACAAGTTTCACTGTACGCTCAAATTACTATTCATTAACTATCCTACGTGTTTCGATACTGAGCCAAGGTTTCAACCGGCAACATTAACACAATTGTTCAAATATCAATAAAAAGATTTTCTCCAGTCCAAACAATACTCTACAATAATAATAATATTTACTTCTCGTTTTGTATATCTGTTGTCAACGTTCTCTACCATTATTCACCTCATATTTATCAGTAATAATCATAATCCTTATTTGGATTCTTGTGTACTACATGTTAACAATCGAACAACAACCTCCTTTTTAAAACATATATTTCATAATTTTCCTTCTGTCGTCCCTATCGAGTGACGACTGATTCTAGTCATAATACTTTTTCCAAAGTTCCCGTGCGAGCACTTTAAGCCGTAGCGTTGCGGGTGAAAAATTCCCAAGTGGCTATGCAAGCCAAAATTCGTCGCTTGGTTAGAGAAGTCGCGTTGATTTGTTTCGCGGTGAACAAATTGAAACGTCTTCTCCAGTTAAACGATGAAATCTCACAAAATATCTGGCAGCGTAATCTGATGTTGAAGTTGACGGTCGTTTTCTTGCACTGCTTTGAGTACTTCGACGTTGTTACAGCGAAATTCCTTCCCATTCAATCGGCATTCCACGAATATGTTTACGGCTTACTGATTTCTTCCGTGTTTTGTTGAGCGCTCAGGAACACGTTGTCGCGACATAGTTGCTTTGCTTTATCGCGTTTTTTAGCTCGATACTGTGTGGTAGTGTTAAGGAGAAATGGAGACAGGGCCGCCGCTAAAAATGACAGACGCATGAATCGATACACTTTCGAGTTGACTTCATTGATTGGTGCGTTTATATCTCTTACCCAGAAGAAACGTACGGAATCTCGTTGA